GGGGCAGTGATCACGGGAAGCAGTAAGTCGGCGGTGGTACTGTGTTGCTGTGGCCTCTTGCGTTATGAGGAGTCTAGCGATAGTGACGGCAGATGCTCCCATGGCTCCACTCTCAATTTGTCACGTGGATTAATTCTTTCACTCACTTCTCACCACCTTCTGAGGTGGGATGTGAGTCACATCTGAGGCCCAGATGTGTGTGCACTCACTCACAGAACCACAGGCCCTGTCTGTCCCCACTCTTGACCCTGCTGTTGTTTGGCCTCATCCAAACTCCTGATGGCAGGTTCGTCCTGTTGTCGTCCCCCCACCCCCAACCCACTCATAGCTCTCTCCTGGCTCTGCTGCTCTCGGAGTTTTCCTGAAGCCTGTTTCATTTCTGCTTGTTTGGAAAGAGCTCATTTCCAAACATAGGAAATAGGAGCCTATTTCCAAAAATAGGCTCATTGAGCCTATTTTTATTCAAATGGATTTGGGTTGGTTGTTTTGTTTTGTTATATAAAGGACTTTCAGGTTTGTACTGCTCAACAGGTCCACCATCTATTTTAATAGATTCAAGATTTCCAAGCCCGTCGTGGTGTGCACACCTGTAATTCCAGCACTTGGGAGGCTGTGTTGGAAGGATTGAGTTTGAGGGTAGCCTGGGATAATAGTGAGACCCTGCCTCAAAAAGAAAGAAAAGAAAAAGATTTTCAACATTGGTAGGAAAACCCTGTGGCGTGGCTGGATGCAGTTTTGTGGGAGAGCACTTGTCCAGACTCGTGAGGCCTGGGTTTGATCCCCAGCACTGCACACACAAGAAAGTCTCCTGGCTGCTGGGGACTAGGAAGGGGGTGGGAAGGTGACATCTTCCTTCCCTCTCCTTCCCACTCTCTACTGTTGTGAGTGTGTATGGGGGTTGGGGGTGATTTCTTCTTGTTAATTTGCAAGCACTCTTTATATATTATAGCTATTTACTGGACCTTGTCTGGTGTGTGACAAAATTTTCCCCAGCTTTTATTTGTTTATTTTATTTGGCGGCACTGGGGTTTGAACTCAGGGCCTCACACTTGCTAGGCAGGTGCTCTGTCACTGGAGTTACTCCACCAGTCCTCCCCAGCTTTTTTGCACATCGTCTTACAAAGGCTTTGGGAGTGTTTTGCAAAGTTTGTCTGTTTTGTTCACACAATCCGGACTTCCAAGCTGGGTTAGGAGGCGCTCCCTGTCCTGCAGTGGGGCGGGGGGTGGGGGGTCCTCTGCCTCTCCTGTCCCCTCCAGCTTCTCCTTGTCCAAGGCTCAGCCTCCTAAGCCTCTGACCGCCCTGCCTTTCCCTATTTAGCAGACAGGCTAAATAAGACAGGCTGGCCTTGAACTTGCCATCCTCCTGCTTCAGCCTCTCCAGTGCTGGGATTACAGGTGTGCATTGCCTTGTCCATGTTGAAGAGCTCTTCCTTTTTCTTTTTTTTTTTTTTTTTGGTGGTACTGGGGTTTGAACTCGGTGCTTCATGCTTGCTAAGCAGGCACCACTCCATTAGCCCTTTTTTGTGAGGGGTATTTTTGAGCTAGGGTCTCAGGAACTATTTCCCAGGGGCTGGCTTCAAACCTGGCTCCTCCTGATCTCTGCCTCCTGAGTAGCCGGGATTACAGCAACGACCACCGGAACCGTCTAGGAGCTCTTCCTACGTCTATGTGTGAATGCTATGCCTCCTCTGTATTGTGGATGACTAGTTCGAGTTCTGTATGGACTTTCCCTACAATGGCATTGAATAAGAAAAGCCAGAAGGTCTTAAGCCCTGTGTCCCCCGTCCACCTGGCATTACTCTCGGTGCGGGGCTTCCCACTCCGGTTCCGAAGGTCTCTCCGCCCTCCTCCCCGTCCTTCCACCCTTACCTTACAGCTTCTCCCTTCCCACGGTCAGGTGCATAAACGCACAGCCTGGGGTGCGTCTGTGCAGTGTCACCATGTCCCTTGCTGCTGGCCCTGGTCCTGGCAGCCATGCCCAGTGCCCACCGAGCTTAAGCGAGAGGACGGGACCCCGCACGTGCGCCAAGCTCTATGACAAGAGTGACCCTTACTACGACAACTGCTGCCAGGGCGCTGAGCTGTCCTTGGAGCCAGGCACCGACCTGCCTTACCTGCCCTCAGGTTGGGCCAACACGGCATCGTCGCTGGTGGTGGCCCAGAGCTCAGCTCACCGTGTGGTCACTCCTGGGCAAGAAAGGCAAAACCCGCAAGTTCACGGCCAGTGCCTTCCCGCGCCTGGAGGAGGTCAACCGGGCATCTTCGGCCACTGGTCCAATGTCATCTCCGGACTCTACTGCAAGTGCGTCCCCTCTCCCCCTGCCCAGCCCCCCACCCCAGCCTGAGCCTTATCCAGAATCCTGAGACCCCCGACTCACACTAGAAGCAGACCTCCCCCTAGAAGCAGTCCTGGGGGGGCCATGTCAGAGTGCACCCCCAGATCAGTCCTCCCCAGCCTCACTCACACCCTGGTGCCCACCCCGCAGCCCCCTCCCTGCTCTCTGGCTCCCTCAGTCAGACTCTGGGTTCTCCAGACTTAAGCACAGTCACTGGAGCCTCCATTCTGGAAGTGTCCCCAACTCCTGCAGCTGTCCTTCCAGACTCTAGCAAAGGAGAGCTCGCTGACCCCTCACCTCGGTGACCCCAGACCCAAAGCCAGCCCTGCCTCAGATTAACACATCTGAAAGCCCCAGACCCAACTCTGGGGCTCCCAGACTTTATAAGGCCAACTCAGATCTCAAGATGCCAGGCTCCATCTTTTGACCCCAGTCTAGTCTAGTCCCCTTTAACTTAGCCTTAAACGGGGGCGCCCCAACCAGCCCCAGGCCTGGGGTCGCAGAGCCCAGCCTGCACTCATACCAAGCTCCCAGACCTGGCATCCTCCATCCAGCTGCATGGCCCCCCAGCTGCACCCCCAGGAGCCTCCACCCCCCCCCCAAGAATCCCAGGTCAGATCTCTAGCCCTTGAACTTGGAGCCGTGGACCCCTCAGCCACAACTCCCTGAGCCCCTGGTGAGAACCTCCCACTCTCTTGCAGGTGCAACTGATGCTTTGAGGGCCCCACATCTGTAACCCCACAGTGCTGAGTCCCCCTCGGCCTGTCCCTGGGGCCCCAGGAGGAGCTTGCTCTCTGCTGCCGGCCACCCCGCCTCGTCTATAATATAATCCTTGTCAACTTGACACAGTCTGTCATCTGCTGTGCTTTGGGTCCCAAGTCTGCCCTGGAGTGGGTGGGATTGCAGGAGAGAGCAGGGTGGTCAGGCCTGGGTCAGTCCAGACCTGGGACGGAGGCACAGCCTCAGACTGTGACTTGTAGTCAGGTGTGCGCAGACACCCACAGGAAGACAAGCCCGCAGCGTGGAGGGCTCTGCTCATTGCCAAACATTCAAATGCTTCCTACCCTTCTTGGTAAATAGCTCGTCTCTGAGCTGTGCCAGCTCCCAGGGATCTCCACACCCTCCTAATTCAGGCCTGACAACTAGGGGCCTTCTAGGACCCTGTGGGGTGGGGTGGGGACGATGGAGTGATCTGGTAGAGTCAAGGCCCTTGGATAATTAAATGCTTTTTTTGTTTATATTGGTGGCACTAGGGTTTGAACTTAGGACTTCACAATTGCAAAGCAGGCGCTCTGCTGCTTGAACCACTCTTCCAAACAATTTTGCTCCGTTATTTTATTATTATTTTGCGGCACTGGATCTTGAACTCAGGGCCTACACCTTGAGCCACTCCACCAGCTCCCCCTTTTATTTGTGATGGGTGTTTCCAAGATAGGGTCTCAAGAACTATTTGCCCTGGCTGGCTTTGAATTTTGATCTTCCTGATCTCAACCTCATGAGTAGCTAGGATTACAGGCATGAGCCGCTAGGATTACAGGCATGAGCCACTGGGGCCTGACTTGCTCTGGTTAATTTGGAGATGAGGTCTCTCCAACTATTTGCTTGGGCTGGCCTTGAACTTTGATTCTCTTGATCTCAGTTTCCCAAGTAGCTAGGATTTCAGGCATGAGCCACCAGTGCCTGGCTGTTAAGTACTTTGAATTCCCTCCCTCAACACATAGAGGACACTTCAGTTCAAATTTGCATGTTTCTGTTCAAGCCTCAATCCCTCCCAACTCCCACTCTGTCCACAGAGATTGGGGCTCTTGATGGATAGCTGGCTTTGAGGACTCAAAAGAGACAGAAGGGTCTTGGGAGAACAGGGGAGGGGACAAGTCTTGGCGAATGTACTAGGGATCGTTGGAGGCAGGAAGGGGATTTGGGGAGATTCTGAGAGTTAAGGGACAAGGAAGAAGAAATAAGTGGAGATGCCAAGAGGGCATACACTAGGGGAGGGGCGAAAAGATGAGCTGTCAGTCTGGGCATGGTGGTACATATCTGTAATCCAGGCTACTCAGCAGGCAAAGGTAAGAGAATTGAGGTCCAAGGCCAGCCCAGGCAAAAGCTCAAGACCCTATCTGAGAAACAAAACTAAAAGCAAAAAAGGGCTGGGAGAGGGGCATGACTCAAGTGGAAGAGCCCTTGCCTAGTATGTGAGGTCCTGGGTTCAAACCCTAGCACCACACTAAAAAAAAAAAAAAAAACACTCAAGTTTGGTTGGAAAAGTGCAGGGGTTGTGAAGCTCACTCAGCTAAGATTTATTGAGTGTCTACTATGTGACAAGCAGTGAATTTGCAAGGAGTGGCCCCTGCACTCCTGAAGCTGAGATATTCAGGGCTGTGTGAAGATGTGTGCAAAGAAAGGGCCAGCAGATATTAAGGCACCTGGGAGGTGGCAACAGCTCTGGAAGGAGCCGAGCATCAGTAACGGAGGCGGAGGTGCCAAGAAGTCACAGAGCTGACATGGAAGCCAAGGTTGATGTCAAGGACAGAGAGAGGTCAGGGCCAGGGAAGTGCTAAGGATGCTAGAAATGCCAGGGGACAGAGAGGTGCCCAAGGGGACCTCCAAAGGTCAGGGAGGGAACATGGAGTCAGGGATGGCTCAGAGAGGCCCCAAGGCAGACTGTCACTCCCTGAGTTGCACAGACACGGAGGAGTCAGTCACCCTCGTCCTCCGCAGGCCCCCAGGCTCCATGCGGTTCTTGGCCTTGTGCAGGAAGTGGACAAAACGCAGGCCAGGGCCGTACTGGTGGAAGACGTGTGACACCTGTCGCACAAGGAGGAAGTCCTTAGGAGGGCCCCACCACCCTGGGGTCCTCCTTCCTCCCTCTGTGAGACCAAACAACACCTGTCTGGGTTGGGGGCCCTGACAGCACGTCTCACCTGGACCCAGCGCCCCGGGGGGCCTCGCCCAGAGGTCCGGGGTGCCAAATGGTGCTGAGCAATGACCGTGCGACGGTCAGCCGCCAGCAGCCAGACGTGCAGCTCATAGACACACTCGTCCAGTCGGCTGTCCTCGAACCTGGAGGTGGGGTCCAGGCCTTCACTGTCACCGAAGTCACAACATCCCAGTCCCAACCAGTCCTCATTCAACAAACACATGCGCCCTGCACCCAGGCTCAGAGCCCCCGGGAGCTGGGTGGGGCTGGTCACCTGCCGATGACCTTGACCGCCCCAGGCCTTGTCCTCAGGGGGTCCAGAGTCCAATGAGGGGCAGACATGTCACCTGCAGTGGCAGGGGAGGCACAGGCAGAAGGGGGGAAATGGGGGAAGCCAGCTGGGGTGCTACCGACTCCTTAAAATAAGGAGGAATGAATCTGGAGAATAACAGAGAGGCCAGGCATCCAAAGAAGGGACAACCTGGGCAAAACCTGGCAGTTCAACCCCTTAACTAGGCAGAGGTGTGGGCGGGGCTAGAGATCGGAGCGGGCCAGAGATTGGGTTGGGGAGAGATGTGGGCGGGGCCAGAGGTGTGGGCGTGACCAGATTGGGTGGGGTCAGAGGTGTGGGCGAGGGTCAGAGGTTGGGTGGGGATTGAGATGTGGGCGTGTCCAGACAGTTGGGCGTGGTCAGATTTGTGGGCGGGCCAGGCCTGCAGCGCCTGCCCATCTTTGCCAGGAGCTCAGGACCCAAGACCGCAAGGCGCGGGCGGCTTGTGCTCTGGGCAGCCTCTGGTTGACCAAGGTCAAGCTGTGGGGCAGGGCACGCACCAGTCCATGACGGTGACATTGGGCTGCTCGTCATCCAGCAGCTCCTCCCACAGGCCTTCGGCTAGGAGGTTCACGCACTGCTGTTTCACTGTCCAGCTGCAGAAAGAAGGCAGAGACAAGGGGTCTGTGATTCTGAGACCTCCCGGGGAGCAGGAGACCTGGTCACAGGGCTCTGAGGGACAGCAGCTGCACCTCCAACACGGGTGCTGCTGCTCCCTGGGTGCCTGACATCTCAGCTCCATGAGCCTTTCAGAGGATGATGTACTCGAATGGGGAACAGATTGGGAAACTGAGGCTGAAGATAAAGACTCGCCCAGTGTCAAGCAGCAAAGACGTGACAGCCAGGATCCAAACCAGGGCGTATGTGATTGTGAGGCACTGAATTACAGCCTCTGGTTCAGGGCACAGAAGCAGGCCTGGGTTTCTTGGAGAACGTATGGGGGCCCTCCCCGGAAAGAGGTCAAGAATAATCAGGATAGGTGCTATTTACTGAATACTTTCTATGTGCCTCTATGCTGGGTGTTTTGCAAGCAGGACAGAAAATGGAGGCCCAGAGAGACCAAGCCAGTTTCTGGAAAGCCCCACAGCAAAGAAGGCGGGAGGAAGGGGTGAATGGCAGAGCGCCCGGGCCCTGCGCTCACCTGAGGTTTCCCTGGAGCTTCTCAGATCCAATGTACCATCCTCGGAAATTGCCTGGCGGTGGAGGATCGAAGCGTTAGAACCTGATTCTTCCTGGGGGACCCCCACCCTGTGGTCCCCAGCACTTACCCAGAGCCTCCAGGGGTTGCTGGGTGGGAGCTGTTGGGGGAGCTGGCTGGTAAATATTGATGCCTGAAACCACAGGTGAGCAGGGCCTCAGGCCAGCGCCTAGGTCTCCTCCCCTTCCCCCACCCGGGGCTACACTGGAAGGGCAGGACCTGAGCCAGGCCAGACCAGCCTGGCAGGGATGGGTGAGTCAGCCCGGGGGAGAAGAATGAAGCCAGGAAGAGGGGCAAAGAACCCAGGGAAACATCAGAGAAGAGAGAGCCAGAGATAGAGGGTGAGATAAAGAGAGGAGAGATGATAAGACGTAGAGACAGGTAGTTGCAGGGAAACTGAGGCACGGTGACAGAAAGGGAGGCAGAGAGGGATGCAGAGAATGGAGGAGGCAGACGAGGAAACCGGTCCGCACCCTCGGGGTTGGGCGAGCGCAGCAGGTTGCGGTAGAGCGGCCGCCGCAGGAGCAGCAGCTTCCAGGTGAGGCGCGGGGGCAGCTCCAGGCCCCCGCCCAGCGGCCCCCACTCCTCCAGCAGCAGCTGCCGGGCGTGGGCCTCGGACGGCGGCTCCGATTGCAGGGGCTCGGGAGGCTCCGGGGTCGCAGGAGACGGCGGCGACGGCGGGGCTGGCGGCGACGGGGGCAGCGGGGGCGGCAGCTCCGGTCCGTCGCCCTTCATCCCGCCACCCAGCGCGTCTGCCTCCCGCACCTTCTCCATCCCGCAGGTCCAGGCAACTGAGTCCCGGTTCTGCAGCGATCCGGGTTAACTGGGGCAGGAGGGGGCGGGGCGGCCCAGCCAGCGTCTAAGAGAGGGGTGTGTTGGGGGAAGGGCCTGGGCTCTGGGGCCTCCCACCTCCCACTAGGAGTCCTGAGCCCCACCAGACACAGCAGCTCAGTCCAGTTCCCCCAGCCTCCTCCCCCAGACCCAGAAGTCCAGGACCCCAGCCTCCTCCATCAGACCCGGGGGTCCAGGCCCCAGCCTCCTCCCCCACACTCAGGAGTCCAGGACCCCAGCCTCCTCCCCCAGACCCAGAAGTCCAGGACCCCAGCCTCCTCCCCCAGACCCGGGGTCCAGGCCCCAGCCTCCTCCCCCACACTCAGAAGTCCAGGACCCCAGCCTCCTCCCCCATCAGACCCCGGGGTCCAGACCCCAGCCTCCTCCCAGACCCAGAAGTCCAGGACCCCAGCCTCCTCCCTCAGACCAAGAAGTCCAGGACCCCAGCCTCCTCCATCAGACCTAGAAGTCCAGGACCCCAGCCTCCTCCATCAGACCCGGGGATCCAGACCCCAGCCTTCTCCCTCAGACCCAGGGGTCCAGGACCCCAGCCTCCTCCATCAGACCTGGGGGTCCAGGCCCCAGCCTCCTCCATCAAACCTGGGGGTCCAGACCCCAGCCTCCTCCCCCACACCCAGGAGTCCAGGACCCCGCCTCCTCCCCCACACCCAGGAGTCCAGGACCCCAGCCTCCTCCCCCACACCCAGGAGTCCAGGACCCCAGCCTCCTCCCTCAGACCCAGGAATCCAAGCCCCAGCCTCCTCCCTCAGACCCAGGGGTCCAGGCCTCATCTCCTCTTCACTCAAACCCAGGAATCCAGGACCCCAGCCTCCTCCATCAGACCCAGGGGTCCAGACCCCACCCCTCCTGCTTCCCACACAGCCTGTCCCAGTTTCCCAGGGCCAGCTGAGGACCCATGCAGTGGCCTGGGATGGTGGTGTGACAAATGACTTAATGCCAGGGCTCTCTGTCTCTAATGAGGCCTGTGGTTTTGTTAAGATGGGGCAGGGCAGAATTAAGAGGTTAATTAATTAAGACCCTCCTTCTTCCCCCCTCACTCTGGAGCGGGTTGTGGGGTTCAGTCTTCGCCACTTCCTCATCTGCCTTCCCTCACCTGGGACACACCCTGGGCACGGACATTTCTGTCCTGGAAAACAAGGTGGGGAGAGCAGAGAGAGCCCAGGAAGGAGAAGGGGGGAGCCACAGAGGTGGGGGACCCCAGGGTGGCCTGGAGGAAGTGGACTCCAACTGGGTTTTCTGGGTGTCTACGCCCCTTCCTGCTTCCTCCCTCAGAGGTCATGGGGAGTCTGGAGGGAGGGACGGGTTCATGGTGGAGGCAAGAGGCTGGGGTGTGGGGGAACCAGTAAAGCCAGATACCCCTGGCCACTTCCTGCCAGTGGCCACATCCCACAGCTGGCCAAGGCCAGCCCAGAGTTGCTCAGCGGTGACCCATAGCAGAAGTCACAGAGCATTCTGCTTGCCAGGCGATGCTCTGAGGGATCTCGGTTCACTGCATTCCCCCAACAAGGAGGGGGAGTGGGCCAGGCACAGTGACACACTTCTGTAATCTTAGCACTTGGGAGGCCGAGGCAGGAGGACTTCAAGTTCCAGGCCAGGCTAGCAAGACCCTGCCTCAAAAAGCAAAGAAAAGTCAGGTTGGCGGAGTGGCTCAAGTGGTAGAGCACCTGCCTAGCAAGCGTGAGGTCTTGGGTTCAAACCCCAGTGCCACCAGAAAAAAATAAATAAAAGAATGTACTAAGAAGCTGGTAAGCAGTTCACACAGGTCACAGGTAAAATGACCGAAGGTTTCCTGGCTCCCCTTCGTTTCCATGGCACTTCCTGCCCCACATTCCCCTGACACACGAGCTGGGACTGTCACAGACACTGAGGAGCAGAACTTACGCTCCAGTGACATTGATCATGTAATTGAGGCTGCCTGCACACCAGGTGTTGCTCCCAGATGTGATGGGGCAATTAACTCATCTGCACCTCCACCCCAGGACGGAGGCACAGAGAGGTCTAGTAACTCACCTGAGGCCGCACAGCTGGAACGGGGTGAGTTGGAGACAGTACCACAGAGAATCTCAGATGAGGTGCACAGGGACACAGAGTCACAGAGTCACACAGACTTGATTGTCTTGAACTCATTCAACCCAAGAACAACTGTGCAGGAAATGAAACTGGCAATGGCACCTCCAGGTTAGGGTCAGGGAACTGAGGCAGGAGAGGTGACATGACCGGCCCTGACAGAGTTGAGAAGTCACTGGAGATCTGGGGGCTGGGAGGGAAGAGGAGGGGCAAACCAACCAATGCCGCATCAGGCGTAATCCTGCCGAACACGGAAGTCCCAAGCAGATTTTCAGAAAAACACGAGCTGAGCCCATGGCACACCCATGACCAGAGACTCTCCCCGGGCCACCGCAATGCACAGCTCACACCCCGCTGCCCTCCCGCCCTGCCTCAGCCCTGTCATCGATGATGATGGCAGTGGTGATGGTGGTGATGAAGAGGAGGAGGAGGACAAGGGAGGAGTGTTTGGCAGAATCCAGGACAGGGAGTGGCCAGGAGCCACAAGTGACAGAAGGAAGCACATCTGAGAGTCTACTGATGCTTCCTTTTGAGATAGGGTCTCACTGTGCAGCCCAGGCTGGCCTGAACTCATGAACCTTCCTTCCTCAGCCCCCCAAGTGCTGGGATTACAGGCTTGCACCACCACACCTGGTCAAAGGCACTGAGAAATTTTTGTTTTGTTTTATTTTGTGTTGGTGCTGAGGATCCAGCCCACAGCCTCATCTGAGACATTAGGACTTTTGCTTGTGATATTCTCTCCACCTGGGATACCCGTCCTTCCCACCTGTGTCCCCACATTTAGTGGTTTCCAAATTTTGGGCCATGTCCAGTCCACCAGGGAGTTTAATAAAAAGTTGGACTCGCCAGGTACCAGTGGCTCACACCTGTAATCCCAGCTACTCAGGAGGCAGAGATCAGGAGGATCAGGGTTCAAAGCCAGCCCGGGCAAATAGTTTGTGAGACCCTATCTCAAAAAAACCCATCACAAAAAGGGCTTAAGGTATAGGCCCTGAGTTCAAGCCCCAGTACTGAAAAAACAAACAAAAAACCTCCTCTAACTGTATATTTTAAGTGGGTAAATTTTATGATATGTAAATTATACCTTGATAAGAAACAAAAAGAATGCAGCAATTTTCTCTACCTTCTAATGAGGCAATATATCTAAAATTTAGAAGTGAAAAAAACAAAAGCAAAAAAACCAAGGTATAGAACAGTGGGACTCAGGGTCGGGATTGGTGGTACACACCTATACTCCCAGCTACTCAGGAGGTGGAGGTAGGAAAATCCTGGTTCACCAGTCCCAGGCAAAAATTGAGACCCTGGACTGGTGGAGTAGCTCAAGTGGTAAGTGCCTGTCTCAGCAAGCATGAGGCCCTGAGTTCAAACTCCAGTCATGCCGAAAATAGATAATATATAAAAATACAAATATTCAAAAACATATATAAATTACAAAATAAATATAAACAAAGGAAGGATTTGTCAGGCTGTTGGAAGGGGACCTGTGCTGGCATTCCGTTACTATGACAACTACCTGAAAACAATCAAGTTTGAAGCAGGACACCATGGCTCATGCCTGTGATCCCAGCTACTCTAGAGGCTAAGATCAGGAGGATTGCAGTTCAAGGCTAGCCTGGGAAAAATATCACAAGACCCCATCTCAACAGGAAAACCTGGATGTTATGGTGCACGCCTGGCATCCCAGCTATGGTGGGAAGCATAAATAGGAAGATTAAGGTTTAGGCAAAATAGACTGGTGGCGTGGCTCAAGTGGTAGAGCACCTGTCTAGCAAGCGTGCAGCTCTGAGTTCAAATCCCATTGCCAAAGAAATAAAAAGTAGTCTCAGTGACCAACACCTGCACAATGGGGTGTAACAGTGAATGATCACACAGGGTCTCTGTCCCAAGGCCTTGCAGGCTGGAGGGGAAAGGGATGGAATCAAAAAGTCAATGAGTCGTATCAGGACAGTTGTCACTGAGCATCCACCAGGGTCCCTAGCTTAGCTGCTACCTGCAGAGACCTTTTTTTTTTTTTTCTAAATAAAATACTATGGCCAGGTTCCAAGGATTAGGATACATCTTTTGGGGGCCACTGTCTGCCCACTACAGATAGGGACCCTTAAGGGGATGGGGACATGCCTTGGGGAGGCAGGAGGGTGGGTCAGTCCCACAGCTTGGTGACCATCTTCCATAGGTAGGTGGAGAGCAGTCAGGGCCTCCCCGCCTGGAACCTCCCCTCCCATGGTGAGGGCCCTTCTTGCACTCATCATGACATGGCTGAGACCATGGTCTGTCCCCTTGGTCACCATTCAGCTCAGCCTGCCTCACCAGGGCAGGGCAGGGCAGGGCCTGGGCAACTTTGTTTATTGTTTGTCCCCAGCTCAGGGCTGACAGGGACTGTGGCTCTGCTTGCTGGGCAGGGAGGGCCAGGCCAGCCCCACAGCAGGAGGTGGAGACGGTTGTGCAGGGAATAACTGCTCTGCTGAGATACCATTATCATCCCATGAGCCAGCACGTCACAAGGTCCCGTCCTGCTGGAGGCGGTGCACAGGGCTGTCCACACAGGTCCTGGTCCTCCACTGGGTGGCAGGGATTGGGGGGAGACAGGGTGGAGTGGTGCTTGGTGGGGTGGAGGTGGCAGGTCAGTTTCGCCCCGCAGGAGGGACAGAGAGGCGGGGATGAGATGGGGTAGGAGGGGAGAGAGGCAGGAGGAGGGGTTCAGAGAGAGCCAGAACCAGAGAGTCAAAGCTATAAGTAGTATTGTGGCATACGCCTATAATCCCAGCACTCAGGAGGCTGGGGCAGGAGGATAGGGGGTTCAAGTCCAGTCTAGACTATATAGTGAGACCCTGTCACAAACATCATGCACACCCAAA